GAGATGTCAGACATTGAAAGTTAAATTCTTTAATATTGATTTGCTAGATTTCAAATTGAGCAAGAATGATAGAAGGGATTGACAAAGCATACAACAGAATATTAGACCAGCAGTTCATTTCATTAAGGTCAAAAAATTTGAAAATCTTTATCTAAAATATTTGCTAATGGCCGAAAAATATATTTACTCGGGCGTCTTGTGGCAAAATCATTCACTAATCCCTGTCATGCTTTTGATATTTCTATTTTTGCAGCTATTTTTATATGAAATAATTTTCTTGTATGATTGCATGGCGACTTTAGTAATTATAATAACTTGTAGGTACACCACGTAAGTATTAAATACTGCAAAGCTTTCGGTCCGTTAACCCGGACCTTCATCAGTGCAATTACTTGAATACACGTTTGCGCGTCACTTAAATATCATGTTAGTCGTGATTAGTTTGCTCGCGCTATTAATTAAACGGTTTCATTTAATTAAGTTCTAACTAATGCGCGCGCCCTAGACAAGTATTTGACTAAGAGACACCGAAAAGAGCACGCCACGTACTATTAAGTGGCTTTCCCTCTTGGACGATAGTTTGATGTTTATAAATTTCAATAGATTCTCTCATTTTACGAGAGACAGTAAACTTATCGTTTGCTAAAATGGTAGCATCGTTCCATTTAATGCGATGATCATAAGTCCATGCATGGTGAGCTACTGCAGACTTATCCAGTTTACCTTTCTCGCAGTTCGTCTTATGTTCTTTAAGACGTATTGAGAGATTTCTACCGGTCTCTCCAATGTAAACCAAACCACATTCACATGGAATGCGGTACACACCAGGTTTCTGTTGTTCATCGACGCCATCCTTGTGTGTGTAAAGAGCGCGAAACAATTTGTTATTGCTAGAATGGTAAACTTGTATTCCAACTTCTTTTAAAATCCTAACGATTTTATATGAAGCTGGGCCAATATATGGTAAACAGACAGAGGATAGATATTCCGTGTCTTGCCTCTGTCTTTGCTGTTCATTCATAGCATGTTCTATGAATTTCTTAGGATAACCATTCATGTGCAGAACATCCTTCAAATGCTTTAACTCTGAGTCAATGCTATTTGAATCACAAATTGTTTTGGCACGGTTGATTAATGTTTTGCATACTGATCTTTTAATGCTAGGATGGTGAAATGAACTATAATTCAGATATCTGTCAGTGTGTGTTGGTTTTCTATAAACTTTATGGCCCAAAGTCCCGTTCTCTTTTACATCAAATAAGATATCTAAGAAAGATATAGAGTTATCTTTCTGTATTTCTAATGTGAATTTAATTGAAGGGTGTATACTATTAATGTGATCTAAAAATTTATTCAAATTTTCTAAACCATGCGACCAACTACTTAATGTGTCATCTACATATCTAAACCAGAAACCAGGTTTTAAACATGCTGTAGCTATAGCTTTCTTTTCAAATTCTTCCATGAATAAATTAGCCATAACTGGTGATAAGGGACTACCCATAGGAGCACCATGAGTTTGCTCGTAGTATTTCTCCCGCCACTGAAAACTAGTTGTATTCAGGCACAATTTCAGTAGTTCATATATACTCTCAGGAGAAAGGCTAGTCCTTTTAGAGAGGGTATCATCTGAAAGCAGCCTGTCTTTCGCAATGTTACACGCCTCATCTACTGGTACATTAGTAAATAAACTAACTACATCGAAACTGACAAGAATTTCATTTTTACCTAATCTAACATCTTGCATATTCTAACAAATTCTTTAGAATTAACTACATGATGTTCAGTTTGACCAACAACTGGTTTTAAAATTCTAGCAAGATATTTAGCTAAATTATAAGTCGGTGAACCTTGGGATGCAACTATAGGCCTAAGAGGTACACCTGATTTATGTATTTTGGGTAAACCATAAAATTTTGGGCACACACTACATGAAGGTCTCAAATAATCATGAAGGTTTTGAGACAAAATACCTGATTTCCTAAGTTCAGATAGTTTAGAACATACTTTACGTTCAATATTGGCTGTAGGATCACGTTTTAGCTCTTTATATGTTGGAGTTTCAAGAAGAGCATGGATTTTACTTTCGTACTCTGCACGATTTAATAAAACCGTAGCATTACCCTTATCAGCCTTTAAAATATGTATAGACTTATCTGCCCTTAGGTTCCTCACTGCATCCTTCTGCTCCTTGGAAAGATTAGACTTGGGTAAAGTTGTACGTCGCAAGACCTCAGTTACTTTAACACGAATGTTGGATGCTATATCATCTCTGAGATGATTCAACTTTGGTTCCAGATGTTGAACGATTTCTTCTTTAGGAATCTTGTGTGGTACAACAGCGAAATTTAAACCCAATGCCAAGACTTCTTCTTCAACCGGCATAAGTTTTCGCGCACTTTGGTTAACAACAGTGCGTCTTAGAGTGTCAACAGCCAAATCTTCTTGTCTTTTTTATCTTTTGATCTTTCGGACGTCAAAAGATAAAAGAGTAATTGAAGAAAAGAGTAAGAGTAAGAGTAATTGAGTAATTGCTTTGAGTAATTGCACTGATGAAGGTCCGGGTTAACGGACCGAAAGCTTTGCAGTATTTAATACTTACGTGGTGTACCTACAAGTTATTATAATTATTTTTATATGCATATCTCTAAACACAATAAAGCTTTGCGTAAAAATCCTCCTCACCTTGCATAAGCTGTCTATGGTGGCCTAGGAGGGCCATAATATTTTCGATTACATGTTGTTTAAAATAAGTTATATTTTTGTTTTCTTTCACTTTTTTTATTTTTTTTGAAAAAAAAACCAAAAAAATAAAATTTTTTTTTTTTCTCTAGCCTATTCGTGCCAGTATAAAAATAAATTTAAAAAAAAATTCGAAGCAGTCTATGAGTGCCATAGCCCATGATGCTTTGTGGGTGTCGATATTATTCGAAGCACATGTTGCATTGCTTGAATGCTGTTTTATTCGCTTCAGTAATGTCGAACAAAAAAAATGTAAATGGGACAATTTTAAGAAAAAACATGCAGAGAAAAGGCGAAAGAAGGATGAAAATTTCCCTGACGTTGTAGATTATTTGACTGTGCAGAGATTAACCGCTGATGTAGAAGGAAAATGTTAAAAATACGGCCGCATTTGACCCTTGACAATCGTGCCTTTTCCATATGATGCACTAACTCTTGATAATATAAAGAAAGCCTGCAAGAATCATTTTGGCATAGCTTCGGTTATGGAGTGTGACGTGCTAGCTGGTGAAAGAGGTCCGTCATACACCAGCATCGATCAAATAAAGAACACTAAATTACTGCACGTAAGATTTCACTTTAATGATCAAGCTGCCGACAATGATGATGAAGGCGTTGACGAGGAAGATCCAGTTCTCCTCAGTTTCAGATCGTTTAACGAGTGGGACAGCAGCGAAAAAACCGAGGACTTAAAAGGCTGACAAACCCCGCGTAAGGAATTTTACAGAAACGCGAAGATCTCTAAAATAGATTCTCCGAAAAAGAAAGCGACGCCTTCATCATTTCCAAAGTCAGTTCCACTGAGTAAAATTCTCCAACTTGACAAAATGATCCCTCCAAAATGTGATGAATAAATTGTTGAGTTATACCTCGAGGAATTTTCCATTGATAAAAAGGAGTGGCTTCTTCCATTTCCTGTCAAGTTATCAGTAAGCAAAACATCTTTGCTAGTGGAGCATTCAGAAATGCTTTTGAAGCCCAAGGAATTTCTGGTCTTAAAGGGAAGTACGTGGTTAATCGTTATAAACCTGACGAGGTGAAGGCTATAGAAGAAGTATTTGGATCAGTTGATAATCACACAAGGAAGTCTGTACAAATGCACACTTTAGCAAAGTATTATGCATCAGCAATGGAGAAGGAGGTTTCCACTTGCAAAGAATTTGGAGAGACTTTCAAGTATACCAAAGTGTATTTGGGAAGAAGTTGTGATGGTCAACTTGTTACTGTTGAGCCTTATATGGAAGGAGAGTTTGTTAAGTATATAAATGATGGTGAAATTATTGTAAAAGGCAGTGAAATTTCTGCAAAGGCTGAAGCATTTGCACATTTTACATATGCAAAGTCAAAAAACACAATCATGGTTTTAGATATCCAGGGAACTAAATACTTCTTATATGACCCTGAAATAGCTAGTGCTAAACTTCTTGATGATACTACCAAAGCAGTTTTGTTTTGCTATGGTAACCTATCTACCATAGCAATAGAGAGGTTTTTATTAGACCACAAGTGCAACAAGTATTGTACACTTCTGGGCATATGTGTACTGTAGCAACTAAACATTCCAGGATGAATGGATTTAGAGACCAACTGTATTGTTAGTTGTTAAGTTCTTTTTCAAATTGTTGTTTTTGAACCTTGTTAAAAGATAACTTTTACATTGACACTAGTTTTGAGAAATATAATATATTTACTGTTGTAGATCATAATGTTTAATCATTCAAGTTTAGTAATTTACACTTGTTAATTATGATACATGATTACATTTGTTAAGTATGAACCTATGTACAAACTTTATGCGACATTATTGCCATATTTTTTCCATACATACATTATGCAACATGGAAAAGGTAGTTTTGAAATGTAGAAGCCAGGTCTAGGTCAGTAATTTGATCAGGTTTGGGGATTTGTGATTTTTAAAGTATTTTATAAGTATTTTAGACAGTTGAAGAAACTCCAAAATGTAGTTTTGATCTGATGAACAGAGTTCAATTTATTTGCTAGATTGGCCTCAACCATTGGTTCTAATGGCCTCTATAATGGGCTTTGTAACATTAAATTTTCTCATGTTCACACCTGGACTACACCCTCCCCCCCAATGTGTAGTTCCAGAAAATATCCATAACACCCTCCTAGATCTCCAAAATGATCCACCCATCCATCAGTCTCTACTAATTATTATACATTACATGATTGGGAGAAGAGTTATATGGATATTTTCTGGAACCGCACTATTTGTCACATCCTTTTCAGTTGTATGTTTATGTTAAAGGTGACTTCAGGAACAAGTATGCATTTGCAGCTTGGTCAGGCTTTATTTCATCAGTATTTGGGATGTGCTCTTCACAACTTGCTCGGAATTGTACATTCAGAAAATCATCTGTGTCTTCCAAAACACCAGATAACTTCGCAACTTCTTCCAAATGCTCTTCACTGACAATGTAGCCACATCGCTCACCTCCATACTGCTCAGGGTGATAGTATATATGGTCAGGAACCCCACAAGGAAGTTGTTTTTTTTGCTGCTTTCTTCCACGGTGAGAATTCCACACTGTTTTTCTAAAGATGTCTAACTCTTTTTGAACTACTGGAACATACACATATGCCAGCATATTTCTAGTAAGAAAGAAAAGATAACTTATTAGTCCTTTGCAGATAAATATAACTAAATGCTTACCCAGTAGTACAGTCTACTGTACCTATGTATTGGAATATCTCGTTCATAATCACCATCTTCTAATAACTTCCTTAACTGGTCTTTAAAAAATGTTTCCAGTCTTTCTAGTAACTCTTTCCACCATCGTTCTATCTTGTTTTCGGTAGATGGGCCATAAATGACACAATCTGCTGAATCTTCATCACTTTCATGCTTTGATAGAAGGTAGGAGTGCATGGTGGCCATATCCGCCGTTTCAGTACCCTTATCAATGCGTAGGCGTGTAGGCATAACTAAAACATTAAATATAAAGATCGATAAAGATAAAGATCGAAATAAACAATTACCATCAGCATTAATTGGATGACGTTTTACAGGCGCTCCCAATTGCTTTGACTGTTTGGATTTGTGTTCAAAAATAAGAGGAATATTTAGAAAAGAACATAAGTGCCTTTGAATGAGACTGTTTATAGGACGAAAGATCAGGTGAATGGTTGCATGAAGATAACATAATTATATAACTATCAAACTACGTGTCACGTTCACATCTATCAGTTTTAGTACTTACATGTACTGGTTTGCTTCTTTTATCAACCCAGGTAATTGCTGCTTCCTATTGATACAAAAAGCAGAAAAAAAAGCCAAATCACCTAACAAATAACATCTCACAAAAACTGAAGGACTAAAGAGGCGTGAAACACACCAAACTTCAAGGCGTATTCAACTGACACACCATGACCATATTAATTCTATAAACAACAACCGTTTAAAAGTCAAATAATTGTTTATAACACAGTCTATCCAGAAATGAGCAAGAACATGTAATCCTTACCTTTCAGAACTTGCTTCAAACCGAATGAATAGTTGGTTGAAATGAGTTTACAATGATATTAGTGTCAAGCTTTATACACAGCGGAAGGCCACATGGATCGGAAATCCTGATTGCAAAAGCGGCCTGAAGTTAACACTTCAAAGTTTTGTCAAGTTTAATTTAAGTCAAACAATAGATAATCATACAAGTAAGCCACAAGTTGTCTGTTTGACTTTTTTACAACAACAGTTTGACGTCAAAACAAAATTATTCATGCGGTGCATGAATCGCTCCCATTGCACTTACGGTACTTCACGATAAGAAGAAAAATGCAAGGAACCTGCTCATAATAGAGACTTTTAGATTCATTACGACATGGGAGCAGACAACGCAGTGAATTGAAAAAAATATTCAATTCAAAGTTTTCTTTTGCATTTCTGCTTGTGCTTATTCCACTAGCATGAACGGGACTTTACAATTTTAGATGATGCTTTAATATTTAATATATGCTGTCAATATTTTAATGCGAAGCATCCTTCTGAAACGCTTTCTATTATACAGTGTGTATAAAAAAGGTATATAACCTTTTAGATTTAAATCAAGCATAATGCCGTATACGATTGAATTCATTTGTCAGAGAAGCTATAATCGCTTCAAACAAGTTAGTAAGCCATAAACAAAAGACTTTCTAGTTATGCGTACAGCAGCACAAGCACAAATTATAATTGATCTCTTTTGTAAAAAAAAGTTTTCGTCGCGTATCATTAACTCAAAACATATGAGAACAATAAAATCACTTACAATTATTGCTAATTTGAATTTAAAAGGCTATACTTTTCTGTCCACTGTTCGCTAATTTGAATTTAAAAGGCTATGATTTACTGTCCACTGTTCGCTAATTTGAATTTAAAAGGCTATACTTTTTGTCCACTGTTCGCTAATTTGAATCTAAAAGGCTATACTTTTCTGTCCACTGTACACATATTGCCTGAACTCTTGATGCCATGTCTTTTGACTGCCTATTCTATGCCTTACATCAAATCAGACTCAAAGTCGACCGACCAAACGGTTTGGTAACGACATTTAACTGAAACGCTTTTTAAGTATAAAATAAACGCATTTATACAGGCTTCAAATTACCATAAAAGTCTTCACTGATAAATACTAAATAAATTCCTAAAGTGAGGAACACAACCCAAAAATGTCTCTTTTCAGTCAGCGTTATAAATTGTTTGTACTAAGCAAATTCAGTATAGTGTAAGACCAGGCAGGAATCAGTAGGCCATATAATGAATACAACATACACCAAAGGCAAAGCAATTGCATCGTTATCCGCTTATTTTATCAGTTTTATTTATTAACAGCATGAATTAAATAAGAACATTTCGCATGCGTAGGAAATGTCAAATGTATAGCACAAACAGCCACGATTAAAAGTTGTACAAGTCGTTATAACTGACTTTATAATATAGTGCTATAAAAGCCAGCGAACGACTATAATAATCAGTCGAATTGGATATATTAAGTGTAGAATTTACTTCGATTTACTTAAACCTAAGTAAATCAACTAATTAAACTACTCAGATTCCCTGTATTTATAGCATCATGTACGCAAAGCATTCTGGTCAGTTAACAGCAGTGCACAGTGATGCATTCTGGTCGGTTAACAGCAATGCATGCTGGTTCTAAAAACGGAAGTAAAATCTTACTTTCAGAGCCCTGTACGAATGAGAATTGCTGACTTGCTCGCTCGCTTCAGGCTCGCTCGCTGCGTCAGCAATAACTACACGAAGTCACGAACTTCTCCTTTTAAATAACCCCCCCCCCTGAAAGAGTCTAGAAAGAGAGAAATTTGCCCTCTGAACTAAAAGTAAGTATTATATGGTTTCTCGAAATCTTGAACTTCATTTTTAATGGCTCCTAACAACATGGTCATTAAAGGCATGCTGATAAGTTTAAGAAAACATGCATATATACAGTGCTATATATAACTAAGGGCCCACTAAGCTATAGCATTAAATTTCATTATTCACGACAAATCAATGCGTGCATCCTTATTGCACGTGGTTTGAGTTTAATCTGTAAGGATGAAATTTCCTCTCGACTTTATTGATAAGAGATTAAGTTCGAAGACAAATGATCAAACCTTTACTGAATTTAAGCCGGTAGAACGTAGAAAAAAATTCCCCACAACTACCTACCTTTCTTTTTTAGCCCTAAAATAGAATTGTGTGCAGCAATTTTGCGGTCTTAAATGCGTGTGACATACGAGCGAAGTACCGCGTTACGGTTTTCGGATTGTTGCGAATTCAGAAAAAGGGAATCATTTAGGAAATTTTCATTAGGCTCGACATTCATTGAAATTTTGTTTCAAGCATGCTGACTAGTTGCTATAATATCTACAAAATTTTTAAAAAGTTTTGCATTACCTTCGTGATTCAAATGTAGTCCTCCTCGCATTTTTAGCGAATAGTTTGCAAAAAAATACACGAATTAAAACGAGGAAAAAAACTCTTGTTATTTCGCACAGACAGTCAACTACACACGAAAAAACAGCATGCTCACATGTGAACTTCATCATCACCGATTTCACCGATAATCACGAGTTCACTTCACACGAACTATACACTCACCACAAGTAATATAACAATTCCTAGCACAGAATCGCATCAACTGTTATAAATAATAAATCTTGCAACATTGCTATCATCTCACTTTCAAAAGGCAACCTCTAACACACCTACAATAAGGGCATGGCTGTCTCCACAGGATCCGAATACTTGCAACAACATTAAACTCTTGCATTAAGAGTTCAATACTAGTTCAATAACAAACATCCTCTTTGTCACAAAGTCATTTGGAACAATTATATAGACAATTCCACCCCCTTTAGTCATAAATGGATAAATACATATATATTATACACCATCATCATTCAATATTTACCATCATTCAATAGTAAGGGATGATAATCATGATATTGTTTAAAAGACATAAGTTTAATAATATTACTCAGACATAAGTTGTTCTAATGTTCATTTATATACTATACGGTCCTTGACATTTTTAAAAGGTGGCTCCCTACAGTAATTTAGAATTAGGACCAGTAACTAAATAATGCTCACGCAAGCAAGAGTAAATCGCGGGATGCGGTAAAATTTAGCGTTTTGCGAGAGTAACGCGGGATTTTTAAATGCCATGCACTGTTAATTTCGGGGAGTAATTTTAACTCCACCGTAGGAGTTGAAATAACTCCCGTTTGAGGAGTAGAAATAATGGAGTGTATTTCACTCGAAAACCAGAGTTAAATCTACTCCACTTCAGTTCATATTTAAACATTAACACCACTAGGAGTAAACATTACTCCACTGCAGGAATAAAATATACTCCAGTAAAGGAGTACAAATATTGGAATACTTTTTACTCCTTTATTTTTACTCCGGGAGTAAATTTAACTCCAGTTTTGCTACTATGGGAGTTTATTCAACTCTCATAAAGGAGTAAAATGTACTCTTGAAAAGGGATACACATATTAGAGTAATTATTGTATAATTTACTCCTATATTTTCACTCCAAAAAAGGAGTAAATCTACGAGAGTAAATAATTCATTTTTGGGAGTCAAAAAAACTCTAATAAATGATAAAATTAGATATACTTAGAAAATGGATATCAAGTAATTACTGTAACTTTACTCCTAACTGTCACTCAAAAAATGACAAATTTTTTAAGGGTATAAAGGAGAATGTATACTTTATCTAAATTTTACCCCCACAGCTATAAGCAAAGTTAAAATTTTCACTACCCTGAAAATGTTACTTTTCAGGCTAGTGAAAGTTACCATTAAGCCACAATGCAATATTCCACTGGGCGGTTTACATGAATCCGGATTGAGCAGTATTCCAGATTGAACCCACCCTGGTTCTCAAGAAATCATAATAACTGTTTACATGAATCTGCAATCATTCATTTCTTAAGAACTGGGGTGAAACTCAATCCGGATTCATGTAAACAGCCCCTTAGACAAGTGGTGTACCAAATACAGCCCCCCCCTTCTTCAAAGAAATTTTAAAAAAAGCTGGGGGTTTTTTCACCAAAAAACGGCTTCAAAATTTATGAAACTGCTATCGATAGAAAGCTTACATAAACAGCTTCCGAATATGTAATTTTTATCCTGGCCCAAATTCGTTGTCGAATCTTACAGCTCCTGAAACGCAGACGTCTGCCAGCCTGAGATTCGAAATCGCATATAATGATGTACGTTAAATGCGCATTGAAGTACGAGCGAAGTAAACACCAAAAAACGGCTTCAAAATTTATGAAACAGCTATCCATAGAAAGCTTACATAACACAGATTCCGAATATGTAATTTTTATCCTGGCCCAAATTCGTTGTCGAATCTTACAGCTCCTGAAACACAGACGTCTGCCAGCCTGAGATTCGAAATCGCATATAATGATGTACGTTAAATGCGCGTTGAAGTACGAGCGAAGTAAACACCAAAAAACGGCTTCAAAATTTATAAAAGCTATCCATAGAAAGCTTACATAACACAGATTCCGAATATGTAATTTTTATCCTGGCCCAAATTCGTTGTCGAATCTTACAGCTCCTGAAACAGACGTCTGCCAGCCTGAGATTCGAAATCGCATATAATGATGTACGTTAAATGCGCGTTGAAGTACGAGCGAAGTAAACCAAAAACGGCTTCAAAATTTATAAAACAGCTATCCATAGAAAGCTTACATAACACAGATTCCGAATATGTAATTTTTATCCTGGCCCAAATTCGTTGTCGAATCTTACAGCTCCTGAAACGCAGACGTCTGCCAGCCTGAGATTCGAAAAAATGCGGGTGGCACACGCCAGCCATTTGGCAAGCAAGTAAATTGGTAAATATAACCTTTCAGTTAAACTTTAAGATATTTCTGA